TTTTTTTCCTGGTTAATAAAAGTTAAATAAATAAACGATATACAGTGACACAAATGTAACCACAAAAGTAGCCTAGGTAGTGTTTTCAGTTTAAATAAATAAATAGCATCATTCATGCATGCCATCTATTTTCTTGTACTTACCAATCTGTCACATCAACACAGACATTCACACCTATGAACTAACTAACTAAACTAACTCCTCCCAGGAACCCAGAGTACTCATGCAACCCATGCAAACATGCTCCACAGGTCCTCCTAGACAGGTCCTGGCTAAATATTGGTTCTGAACCCAGGGGGCAACAGTGCTAACCATCGCACCCCCCCTATGTACTTTTGGTCATGCATCACCAGCTTCCAGGATCACTGCCTTCTTCCTTCCTTCCTTTTTTTGGGGGGGATATTTTGAACAGTGCTTTGTTGGAGATTGTTGAAGAAGCTTCTTTTTGATGTTGTGCTCGATCATATGATTTTATTTCACATTAAAATTTATACTGGTATTATCAACAATGATATGGATTATCCCTAGTTAAAGCACAAAGGTCTGACAGCTTCTTAAGCAGTTTAAAGTAAAAATAACAATTATAATAATAGTAGTTTTTAATATTTTATGCTCCACTGATGACATGGAAAAGTTGCAGAAATAAAAGACTCATTCATAGCACGCAGTTCTTATTTTGAAATTCTGTTTATTGGTTCATCTTTAGCCAGGAGGGCAGCAGCAGCCACACCACACTGAGAGGAGCAAAAAAAAAAAAAACAAACCCAAAAAATAAAGATGACAACAAAATCTGTGCCCTTCATCTCTGACAACTGTAAAATAAATACATCTCAACACCATCCTCACGATTAATGTCAGCGCCATTGTCGCAACCATTTAAATAAATACCCATGAAGCAAAAATGGCAAAGAAACAAAGTGTGAAAAGCATACTGTTCCATATATAATATATTCATTTAAGATAAATTTCTATATATATTTGTTCCATATACTCTCCTTAAACTCTTTTGCAACATATAAGATGCCAATTTGTACCAAAAGCGATGCTTGCTAAGACACAAGAGGAGAAGTGTAGTGGTTATAGTGGCAGCCTGCGTACATACAGCATCACACAGGTTCAGACATGAGCTCCGGCCCTGAGGGCGGACAATGTTGAAAATGTTTAGGATTTTAAACTGGAGCACTTTATTTATTACATACAGATGCACAAGCCATGCAGTATGGGGGAGTCGCTATTTCAAGATGTTAATTCCCTCAAATGACTGAAAAAAAGTGTTTGAAATGACAAAAACAGTCCTCCATTTCTATTATGCAGTAAAAATGGTGCCTTACTCAGGTTGACCAGTGCTGTTTCTATTACAATTATCTAGCTAATTAGCTCTCATTAGCTCTTGTCACTATACTGAGGTTTTTAAAACGTTTGACTCGTACCCCACCCATAATGCATTGCTTATGCCTCTGTGTGTATCTGTTGTACATACAAAAGACTGCATACTGTAGAGATTATGATTGGATAGTTGTCACTGCAAAGATATTAAAGCTACTTTGAACACAGGTGAAACAGTTAGCTAAAAAAACAAGTGCAATATCATCCCGATAGAAAAAACAATCCAGATAGAAATAAATGTTCCCCAAGTCATCTTCGCAAGCACCAAAGATCTGACTGAAGTCGCTCAGCCAGGGTTAAAGGAGACAGTGTGCGCATCTGTGTGGAAACCCATCAGAAACTCATGTCCACAGTGATGCAGCTGAATATGAAAATGTTTCCATTTTGAAGGTTTTACATTCACACTATTGTTTTCAGTCAGGATTTTCTGTTGCCTTTGAAGCATTGTTGTTCACAGAGATGCATGCAAGGTAAAATACGCCAGCTATTAATCAAACAAACAGTTCCTTGAAACGCTCACTTTCATGACACTGCCAATTTTCAAGCAATTTCTAATATCTTTTCATTAAGAAGCTAAAACTGGCAGTTGCGATGAAATGTTGGGTAACTTTTCAGATTCATGAGCATTAAGGTGGACATGTTAACCCTGGTGATTTGCTTAACGAATATCAAATATGTTGACTGTTGTTTTTCTTGTTTTTTTTTGTTTTTTTTTTGATGCCAATACCTTGAACAGTAATAACCATGGAAAAAGGTGGAATATTAAAAAAACAATGAGAGAAAAGTTCATATTTAAACCGAGTGTGTCCTCCACAGTTGCCAACCCATCTATCAAAGTGGAACCTGTGACGAGACCAGAAACATTTAGGGCAACATTTGCACTTCACAATGCATTGGTGAAGGCCTGAAGACATTTAAAGAAGACATGTTACACATTTCTGTTGCATAATCCTTATAGGCCTAAAGCATAGGCTTCAGACTGCTCTAAATATTCACTTCTTTACCATTTATTTTACTCTTGGCTCTGCATGATGTCAGTATGGTCACCAAAGCCCAACCTGCTTCTATCCAAGTCTTTTGTTTGTGACAGACAGCCAATCAGAAGAAAGTTGAAGACTTTCAGTTACCACAGCCCAGTGTAAGATAAATAAGGATTAATTTAAATTGTGATTCATGCAAAGTTGGTATAATCTAAGGAATTAGCATAATAGGTCCCCTTTAAATTTACACCTTTAGTTCCAAGGCACCTTATTAGCAGTAGTTCAGTAGCAAACCGTTGACAAGTCTTCAATTCCCTCCAGTCTAAACTATAAAATGTTGTTAGCACATCTAATGTTAGAAATGGTTACTTGTTCTGTGATAAAGTCATTAACAGCCTTCGGCTGTTTGCAATCCACTGCCTCACTTTCCTTTTGTGACAATAATAACAGTTGCGATTTGAAAACATTCACAGATTGCATGAATGATTGTCCCCTAATCCTGATGCATGATTTGGATTGTCTGCTTCAGAAATTTGCAAAAATTCCTCAACCTCCTTAAGAGGTTCATCTTTAGAAGCTCTTTCTTTCAGTTTTTTTTAATTGTATTGAACCAATTTGTGCAGCAGTGACTAATGTATGTAACTATAATTGCACTGGTTCTATACATCTATCTGGATTGTTAAATAACCCCTTTGAAATCCAACAATGTTAATACTTTTTAAAAATGTTAATGGGGAGTAATTTTGCATTGCAGTCAGTCGCCCTAAAAGTTCCTGAATGTGGACTCTTAATAGTTCACAATAATGAAATATAGCCATAATATCAATCTCATACAAACAAAATAAAGCAGAATAAAAATAGTTTTACAGTTAACAGCCCATATTTACATATAAAAATATAACAAAGGAACATTTAACATATCAGGTCAATGTGTGTCTGTGCTTAGGTCACTTCCTGACACACACACACACACACACACACACACACACACACGCCCAAATGCATCCAAACATGAACACACACGCTTAAAAACCTGTACATGCGTACACACACCAGCAAACATACATGCATACTTTGTGTGTGTTTTTTTTAACTGATTTTGATCCTCCTCTTAATGTGTTCCATTTATGGTTTGCATCAACACCTGAAGTCCTGAAAAAACTAAAAAGCAAACAACCAAAATCCAAAAGTTTAAATCTGCACTGCTTTTACTGAGTATTCATGGTCTCCAAATGACTTCATGGACCCATCAACATCCTCTGTTACTTTTCCTTCATCGACTCCTTTTCTTTTTCCTCTTAGCATCCTCCTCCTCACCATTCTGTCTGTTTGCCAAACACCACAACTCTACTCATCCTGTCCTCTCTCTTCTCTCCCTCCCACGCTCCATTCTTCTGCAGGCCATTAAGAGCTATCATGAAGCTAATTGCCTGTTTGATGAACTCTCCATGGACCTGGAACTCAAGGCTTTTAGCCGTCTGAGCTTAAGAGGAGAGGCGAATGAGACATTAGGGATATACAATGCAGTATGGGTGTGTAATGTGCCTTGTGTCGGCTCTTTTTGATGGTTGGGTCATTTTTAGTGCTGTTTTGGATCAGTTTTAGACCTTTTGCCTTTACCTGTAACTAACCGATATTATTTGAAGTTTTGTCCTGGGAGGCGGGAGCTAATGAAATTTTCTATCCAATTTCAGTAACAGAAAATGAAATTGTGATCGAAGCTCAGGTCCAGCTCTAGGGTGTTAAATACTGCTATTTTGTCAAAGCCACTGGTGTCTCCTACATACGTAGAACGTTTGCTTTGGTGGTACTCCTGTCATACATCCTGGCCTCACATGAACGCTGGCCTCAGTACTCCAGGTAAGCCTGTTTTTTCAAGGGGTATTTTCAAACCTAACCACTCCTAACCAGGAAGTGAAAGAACAAAGTGAGTGGAAATTGCACCAATCAAACAAAGTGCAAAGCCCCAGACTGAAGATCAGAACATGCTGTCTACTGGCTGACAAACTCCTGGTTAACAAGCAGACGTTATTCTCCGCATTAAGTGTGACCTCCAAAGGTGTGTAAAGGCACTGGGACCAAAGCAACCCTTCTGCATATCTGTGCAACAGCAGCTTCTGGCAAAAGCACAGCATTTGATACCCTAGGATGAGGATTCATTGCTATATCAACCTTTAAGGCCCCGCTAACACTATTAACTTTTTACCTTATTAGCTTCCTTGTGTGTCCTTTTCTTCTGCCAAGTAGTCAACCGCTTTTTAGGTTATAGGACGCAATGTCTCCCCATGTTAACCCAAGAATTTGTTTTTAAGTGCTAAAACACTTAATGGATTATGTAGACGAATAGCTCATTAAGAATATGGTTTTCAAAACCCTCCAAGAATTTGGATCATCTGGAAGTTCAGAAATGGCATTTGATTTCAGAATGGGTAGAGAACTGATGGGTGGGGTGGGGGGTGTTTATGTGTAGTAGTGGAGTAGAGGATTGTGAAGGAGGTGGGTCAGAGGAGGGAGCGAGGGAGCGAGGGAGGTTGGCGACAGGCTGGCTTCAGGAGGAAACCCGACCAGACCCTCAGAGCTCCAGCGAAGCAGGACTGCTAAAAATAACACAAGGCAGGCTTCTTCTGCTGATAAAACAACAAACACACAGGCTCATACACAGGTTGTTGCACAGTAGGAGGACACACACAGACGGACACGCACACACGCTGCCTCACAATAGATGCATCCTCCCTCTGGTTAAATAATCCCCCAATGAGCTCTGGGCTCACAGGGAAAACATTGTCCATCTACCTCACAGTGCTTTTCGTTTACAAATGAGCTTAATAACATTGAAATTCACACCGTTTGTTACAGTGAATGGTCCCTTTTTGGTGTCAAACTGTTGTCACAGGTGTCGTTCATCTCACTTTATATCTTGGTGCTTTGCTGAGTCTCAGTAAGACGTTCACCTCAGTACAACACTGGCTTCCTCGTTCATCTTTAACGTCTTTTCAAAGTTCTGAATCTCGTTGTAGTTTTAACCTCCATCTCTCACACTTCTTCTGATCAGGTCAGAATCTGTTTGCAAAGTCCATATGCAGGCCTCTTTCCTTTGCGAGCGATTCCTTTGCAAAGAATTAGCACAGAGAGTGGCAAAGGGTTGAGAAGGGAGGAGGTTCAATAATAAATAAATACATTTTAACATGCCGAGATTGCACCATAGAAAGCATGTTTTTTTGTTTTGTTTTGCCTTGTTTTTTGTCTTGGTGTCTTGGTTAAGGTTTAAGGATCGGTCCAGCAAAGCACAACAGCTTCTTATTCTTCAACATAGGCATTAATTCTCCAACATAAGCAGGCACATTAAAGCTTTGGTCCCTCCTGAGTTGGAGAAATAAAGGTACGTTAGGTGAACAACTTGGTTGTTTGGTTGGTTGGGTGATTGGTTGGCTTGTCATACGTAGGTAGTTGGGTCACAATGGCACTGTCGTCATGATGTCAACTGAGGGACCGTTGATTGGTGACAGCATTGCTTTTGGCCACATCTGAGGGGAAATTCATTTACTTGGCCCTCATTCAAGCCTGTCATAACGGTTTCTCCAGAGCTTTGCTGCGGAGCGAGGGATGGCAAGGATTAGGGTTGGAATTGGAAATCTTGCGACACACAGTGTTGGTGTTGCTGCACCTGCAGCCGGGCCGCGTAGCCCGGTCGTGGGCACACCGGCACAGAGCAAGGCACAGCCTGGCAGGGGGGTAGCAGCAAAGGCAGGGCAGACATAGCGCCAGCAGTCCCATTGTGCTCCAGCGGGCACAGGCGTGGGCTGGAGCACAGGAACATGGCTGGTCAGCACAGTTATCTTCATCATCCTGGGCAGAGCAGTGATAGAATAAACCTTTAACACAGCACAAGCATGTGCCATACTCCACGGCATTCTCAGCAGAACACAGACAGCGTTGTCCACAGGCCCAGCAAGAAGGCAGGCGGCGCGGGGCGCAGCACTCTTGGCATTTACAGCGGCCACACCTCTCGCAGATGAACTGATGGAGACTGAGTTCAGCCTCATCTTCCGCCAGGCGTTTACCAAAAGAATCAGGCTTCAGGTCCCCTTTAGGCTGCGAATGGACCACCGAACCTAAGCCAGAGTGAGATGGTGTCAAACCTGCCAGTAGCCGCTGGTCTGAGGTGGCACTTGTTCGTGACATAGAAGAGCTTATGGTACTGGAACGGCTCAAATGGGAAAGATGAGTGTGCTGCTGTTGACTTTGGCTGCGGGACATGGCTGAGGGGAAGGAAGGCTGGGGGTGATGGATGTATGCACCGTGAGGGTAACGGTCATCGTGGACCAAAAAGAATCCAGACTGCGTTGCAGGTTCCAGTGCCACGGGCCGCTCCACATAGTCATTGTTAGCCCGAATGGCACGTATCTGGTCAAGCGACAGCACTGAGTCCAGCTCCATCCTGAAGGAATGAGTAGAGTCCATCCTGGTCAGCCTGCTGGATGGCACCAGGGTTGGAAGCCGGGTCTGGGGCAAAGTGCTCCCGGTGCTCAAGGCACATCAGATAAACCTGCAAACACAAAGAAAGGAAGCAACAGTGATTATTGGTTCTAATTTTTCATAAAATTCTGGGTTATAACATCTCTCTCTGAGATACATAAGAACTATTTTTAACTATCAGGGGGGACTTTAGTAAAATGCATCAATAAAAACATGTAATTGGAGATTTTAAGCCACTTCTACACATGTTAGAAGTGGCTTTGGTTTTGGATTGGCATACATTCAATTTATACCAGGGATATTTTCTGTAATCACAATTATATTAACTAATAAACCTTTGATTTTTGTATATGTCAGATGTTGTTGCTTCATTTTTATGAAGTCAAAGAATGATTTCTTTTGAGTTTATGGTGTATATTTAGTGTTATGTGGAGAAAAATGTTGTGAAAAGCAAACAGTAGCCTGCATGTTGCCATCCAAAACTTTAAGAAGCATTTGATCAGGGATGGATTCTAGTTGCAAAACCTCCACACAACCATCAACCGTGTCATCATGACCGCTGAGGCGCTCCACTGCTCAAGCTAACACTATTATTAGCCTGCCAGAGCCAAAGAGACACAACCATGAGGTTCACACTGTAATTTAACATCTGTTGAGCACAGCTGCTGATGCCATGGAGGAATCCCACCTGCAGACAGAGGCTGGCAGTGTGGCCAAGCACTTGAGCAACAGAGAAATGGCTTTAAAAATGGTTTAATTGATATATTTATCATTTTGTCTCTGATTGGCTCAACTATGCCAGCTAAAGGTTTTAGACTGATTTATTTATTGAGGCACATTTTCACTGAGCAAAATATCTCACCATAAAAATACTTTATTTCAGAAAACCATCTGATAAAAATAAAGTAGGCTACTCTGAGTTTCGGTCTGTGGTTCCAATCAAGCAGCAACCACAGCGAAATGCTGAGGCCAGTTCAGAGATACTTAAAGACATGTATTTCCTTAAAAGCTACCAATATATGCCAGTAAGTGGCTTATAAAAATCATCTGCTTTCCTGTAACAGTTTCTTTACAAACTATTTTCAGAGGAAGCACTTTCTAGAAACAAGGTTCCTGTGTATGTAAATTATAATTATGTGAGCTATTTGGAGCACCACTAATAATGTTTATCCTCATGCACATTTTTTAGCATAGGTTCACTCCAGTGGACCAGTTTTACCTCATTTAAACCATCAGCTTTTAGATTTACAGTTATTGCTTCAGTTCATTGAAATTTGTGGGTATTTGTTTATGCGCAGCTCTCATAAGGTCCTGCCACAGGATTTCAGTCAGGCTGAGGTCTGGACCTTGACTGGGATCATAGTCCTTTCTCAAACTTTATCTGTCAGACAGATGAACTCACATTTGACTCTTGAATAGTATAAAGAGGTGTTCATGATGAACGCAGTGACTCAAAGTGCCCTGGTCCCGTGGCTGCAAAATAAGCCAAATCTTCACCTTTTTAACACAGTGTTTGAAAGTTGCTATGAGGTGTTCAGTGTTTGGTTTTCTCCAAATGTATTTCTTATGGCCAGAGATTTTCACATTGGTCCAGTCTGTCCAAAGAACGTTGTTCTAGACGTTTTGTGGTTTGTTCAGATGTAACCTTAGAGAGAAGAGGCTTTTTTCATGGCAACAACTTTAAATAAGGCATACAGACTCTTTCTCTAGTTTCACTGTTATGAATTTAACATTTTAAATGCTAACTGAGGCCTGTAGAGCCTGAGATACAACTCGCTGGATTTTAGTACTTTTTCAAAGTGTTGGACAATCTGACCTTGGGATAAATTTGATGGGACATACACTCCTGAACGCTTGAAAACAGGAAAACGTCTGAACATCTCCTTTTATAGATGTCCTGTTGATGATCAGTTAATCAAGCCTATTTTAACAGAAGCACCTGGCTGCTAGTTACCCTTTTATTTACAATGGAAACTGTAAAGCACTGGTAGGCAACTCCAGTGCCGGTGTCCTGCAGGTTTTAGATCTCACACCTGCATCAAATGATTAGTTCATTACCAGGCCTCTGGAGAACTTCAAGACATGTTGAGGAGGTAATTTAGCCGTTTGAATCAGCTGTGTTGGATCAAGGACACGTCTAAAACCTGCAGGACGGAGGCCTTGAGCTCTGGAGTTACCTATCAGTGCTGTAAAAGCTCTCACAGGATGGGATAGAATTAATTTCACGTGACTGTGTATTGTATTTGTGATAACATAATGCATTTTTCTTTAAGGCTTTCTTCTTTAAAAAATTAGAGTGGCCCTACAACCAGTAGGATGCAAGAGTGGAAGGAACAGATTAGCAACTATCAAGGTAAGAGTAAGGGAGGTGTCCGCCATTAAATAAATCCTTTATGTCCTCTTGAATTAAAGAATAAAAATATGAAATGTGACTGGGTAATCTTTGGAGGGTGTTAATATATCTGGTTATCCTGCCCAAGTAAAGTCTGTATGGGAAACACTAGTATAAAATGACATGCATTGTGTTGCATACGCATTCAAATGCTGAGTAAGACACTTCTTTAAAAGTAAACGTGCATTTGCTTGGAAGTGCAGTAAATGCATGATTATACTATATTAAATTAAAATGTCTGAATATAGATTAATATGCCACTGATTTGATTTCCTGTTTGAACATCAGAGACAGAACGCTGTTGCTTAATTTAGAGGAAAAATGCTCGGTTCTTTGTGTTTGTTTGTGATAAAGCAAGCAGCCAACATATATATCCACACACACACACAGAGCTATATCCTCACAGAGAAATGGCAGTCTTGCCAAGTGGCCAACGGGGAGAGATCACTGGCTCACTCCTCACATGGGGCCGGCCCTCTTAGAGAGTAATGAGGCCAAATGGAAATGCGTTTAAAGCAGCTCAGATCATGAGATTAGATAGAGCATGGAGGTAAGAGGAAGCAGAAGCAAATGCGTCTCTTTAGCTGCATCCATATGCATCTAGACTTATTTCAAAAATGTTTCCTCTATTAGTGTCCACTCTTCTGCCAGAGCAAAAGAAACACTGGAGATTCTCTTCTTTGTTTTCTTTTTCAAAAACCAATGCATTACACATTTTCCACGAGCCTCAGATGTTGTGTTATTGTGTTATTCTGCTGGATTATAGCAGGTTAATTATTATTAGCTGATTCTGGAATTGCAGTATTGTCCTGCAGATAACTGTCTGAGATGTTAGACATGGGTGGTCGGCTGGGATTATACTTGTTGGAAATTGTTCTGCTTTCATACACAAATGTATTAAAGACACTGACGCATGGTCATGTCTATGCAGCTCAAACACGCCCCTAAAATTCTGTCTCCCTGCATTAATGGCATCTTTTCCCCAAAAACTAGTCAATTATCTTTAGACTGCATTATGGATTTGTGTTAGTTGAGGAAAGTCTGTTTGATGCATGACTTCACACTTGTTCTGCCAAAAAATAAATAAATAAAAATTAAAAAGTCAGACTTAACTGAATGCCACTCATTGAGACACATATTGAAAAGCTGATGGAAATTGATCAAACATGTGAAAGCCATAATGGCATAACATGGCACTGGTGTTGCAAATAAGGCAAGATGGGAAAATTCTGGAAGAAAGTAACTGATTGTGGGAATTCAAGTTTATGTATTTTACCACTATTACAGTAAGAGCATTCGTGTCTGCCGCTGTCCAAGTTTCAGCAGATGTGGAAAAAACTTTAATTTATGGTAGATGAAAGTAAAATAATTTTATGAATTAAATATTCTGTGATAATAGGCTACACAACGTTTTGCCCTTACTTTAATTGCAGTAGCACATGATGCTTTCTTTTTAAATAATGGTCCAAAAACCTAAATGATTCAGTCTACTGCCATGCCTCTCTCATAAGCAGTAGACTGCTTAAATCAGACTGCTAAATATCTCATCAGGATCTCTCATTTTGGCCAGAAAAATATGTTAAATAATTGCAAATGTTTTGGGAGGTTTTTTTGTACTGGTTTGAGTGCCCAAAAGTTAAATAAAAAGGAGTAAAAAAGAGAAGTGGATACTGAAAAAGGCAGTGCAGACACAGTAATAGAAGAGCAAACAGATGTAGGGATGATAGGGTGGTTGAAACCCAAGAATGGCAATCCATCACTGTGAGAGCAGGAGAGGTGATTAGCAAGAATACAAAATACACTTCCTGTCCTCCGTGCCAGGAGACACCTTTGAGCAAACAGCAAACTGTGGCAGACTGACTGGCTTTTCTATATAGCCCCCCCCCCCGCCGTGCCCTGCTTCCAGAAATCCGGCCATAAAGCAGCAGATAAGGAGGGCCAGGTTGTTTGGATGAGGATGCATTTTCAAATTAGTCTGAGGAGAGAGAAGAGGACCTGGTGACTAATCTCATCACAGAGCAGTGGCCGTGGCTCGCTTATACTCTGCTCGCCTATCACACCATCTAATTGTTAAAAAAGAAGAGGCCTGCCAACTATTTCCATGACCTCATATTATTTACTCTTTCTGGTCGTGCCTACTATTGCCCCCCTCTAATATGACATACTTACAGCAAGTAAAATCAGAAGGCTTGAAACTATAGAGTTTGAACGTAGAGTTACTGTAGGACACTTTCAACAAATTCGACAAGCAGTTGAATGACTCACGATTTTCAGAATGGATTTCTTTTCTCTGTTGCATGATATTGTTAGGTTGTAGTTTATTTCAGAACTAAAACTTTGTCCAAAGCTTCTATTTTATGATTAAATTCCACCATAGACTGATGTTTATTGCTGCGATGAAGACTGATGGAAATCTTAGTGAAGTAAATAAGCAGCTCTACAGGTAAGAATACACTTTTAATACAATTATTGTTTCTAGGAAGATTAGAGAGGAAAATATTGTCGGTTTTAAAGGCCCTGGTATCATAATCAACACATGGCCTTTATGCATGCAATCAGCTACTCTGATTGGCTAAGCTGAGATTTCCTGTTGTTTTCAGTGGTGATGCTCAGTCTTGCTTTGCTGGGGAGTGTCTGTCAC